TGAATGGGTCTTCCTGTAGTGGTGGTAGCGAGGCAGTTGGTGTGAAGGGGAGTTCTAGTGGGGCTATCCATAGAGTGAAGGCTGGTGCTGGTGGGCGAGGAGTGGTAGCAATGGGGGAGCTAATGGGGGTAGGCGTAATCATAGTAGTAATGGCAATATGGGTGCTGATAATGGGGGTGATGGTAGTGGTAATGGGGGTAGGGCTGATGGATGGTTTGAGAGGTTGGATAGGATGATCTTTCACCCGACTGTGACTATGCGTTGAACAATTTATTGTGGTGGTTTCACCTTGTTTGACCTGGCTTGCAATTTGGTGAAGTTCATGCTTGGTTTTGAGAGTGACAAAGACATCTTAGTTATGATTCAAGAGAGTGTCAAAAATCTAAAGTAAGACAAGGCAACACTTGAAGCTGCTTTGAATTTGGTGCATTATCTCGTTGTGGTTGAGATTCATGAGTTGAGAGAAGAAGTCAAAAAAGAAGTGCTTGAGCTCACCAAACTGTTGAGAATGATATTAAATACCTTCTCGTCTCCGGAGGAGGGAAGGTATCTATATGTATTGCAGAGGGGGTTTTGGATAAGGAACTTCCAAAATTATCAAAAGTCTAAATGCTATTTTAATAGAATTTTACATTTTTATAATTAAGAAATATTTATCTCTTAACTAATCCTATAACCGCTCTCGCACTTTAGCAATATGTGCTATGCATTGGTCCGTACGTGTCTATCTGCGATGGGTCAGACATGCACTATTGCCTATAGGAAAATCAACGAAAAAATAGTACCATTAGTAAAGGCATGCTCTACTTCAATGAACAAATGGGAAACTGTGGAGGTTAGGCCAATGCATGGATGTTTTTTGAAATGTTTTTGTAATATTCCAAAGCGTTCTAGGGCTTTCAAGAGTTTTGGAGAATAGTATAAAAGTTGTACATTATGCTACTAACCAAGCATGCGTCTAGTGTGAGTGACGAGTGGAGGCGAAAATTTTTTGAAAGTGTAGTTTGTTTGGATGTTGTATTATATAAAGGTTATGCTCCGTTTGGATTAGCTATTTTTGAAAATATTTTTAAAAAAATTTTATTGCAGCAATGTATATAAAAAATTTTACTATAAAAGTTTTTTGAAATATTTGATATATTATATGGATGAGATGTTTATTGAGTTATTGTGTATTACTGTAACATTGTATTTTGAAAAACTTGTTTTTGAAAAAATGGCCAATCCAAACAAAGTTATGAGATTGGGCAAACTTTAGAATTTCTTTTCTTGTTTGCTTATGTAATTATTTCAATATAATTGAATTACGAAATAGCAAATACCGTAGTTTTGGTCATTTAATTAGGCGTGTTGGTTAATTTCGGGAGGTAGCAAGAGATATTAGAATTTCATTTTATGAGATATTATTCAGTATTAGACTTTTATTTTGAGCCTTAACATAGTGTTGTAGACTTTTAATTTTGCCTCATAATTGAGAAGCTTCAAAATTTTTAAAGTTTATCGTTGACTTATACATTAAATAATAAGTTTATTAACAATACTAATGTCATGCAATTATGCTAGCAAAGCAACTCTTGACAATTAAAACTATCACTCTGTCCATTATGTCTGTCCAATGCAAAACTACGTAGTTCCGCTTGTTAATACTACTGATATGGTACATAACAGTGAATGCATTTTTAGGGGGTGTTTGGGCTATGGCATCCATTAGCCCTCATTGGTCCCCATTGGTTCCATCGTTGATTTCAATGGCATCTTAATTTCAAACCGATAATATTATAAAGAAAAAGACAACTGATCACAAAACGAATCTCACACCATAGTGATCCCTATGAAATATTTTAAAAAGCTTCAGCAAGTTCACTTCCAATAAATACAAGTCTCGTTGGACATTTTTTTGTAGTATGAACTCTACAAAATTCAATAGAATTAACTAAACCACCAATATTAATTTTCATACTAAAAATTGATTGGTGTAAAAAATGTTCGCACCTTTGTACAAGATTATCAAATCGAATGCATAACGTTTGTAAGTATTTCATTTTGAAATCACATGAAAACGTGCAATTATATTTATTTCTATCCATATATCATTCATTTTCTAATATAAATTTTTATTATTATTTTAAGATCCATCTTCTGGAAAAACGCAATTCTTGAATGATCTACAGATTTTGTCATACTTTGAACTATTGTTAGACAAATCTTAAATTTTAATTATGTTGGTATAATTTTTAAATTTTTTTCAAATTAAAATGATATAATCTTTTAATTTATTTCAATAACGTAAATACCGTGCGTAGCACGGATATTCATACTAGTTTTAGTGGGGAATGTGTACTTTTTAAAGAAGTACTTATTAACTACTATTTTGTAGTAGTCCATCTGAAAACCCATGTTTTTAGGAGATGTATCGTGTCATTCGAACTTGCAGCAGAAGAAGGCTCTACTGTAACAAGGCTGTGAATGGAGGTTCAACTGAAACTAGTAGAGTCAATGGTGGTGTGAATGAGTCTTCTGGTGGTTGTGGGGCTGGTGGTCTGGGTGTGAATGGGTCTTCCTGTAGTGGTGGTAGCGAGGCAGTTGGTGTGAAGGGGAGTTCTAGTGGGGCTATCCATAGAGTGAAGGCTGGTGCTGGTGGGCGAGGAGTGGTAACAATGGGGGAGCTAATGGGGGTAGGCGTAATCATAGTAGTAATGGCAATATGGGTGCTGATAATGGGGGTGATGGTAGTGGTAATGGGGGTAGGGCTGATGGATGGTTTGAGAGGTTGGATAGGATGATCTTTCACCCGACTGTGACTATGCGTTGAACAATTTATTGTGGTGGTTTCACCTTGTTTGACCTGGCTTGCAATTTGGTGAAGTTCATGCTTGGTTTTGAGAGTGACAAAGACATCTTAGTTATGATTCAAGAGAGTGTCAAAAATCTAAAGTAAGACAAGGCAACACTTGAAGCTGCTTTGAATTTGGTGCATTATCTCGTTGTGGTTGAGATTCATGAGTTGAGAGAAGAAGTCAAAAAAGAAGTGCTTGAGCTCACCAAACTGTTGAGAATGATATTAAATACCTTCTCGTCTCCGGAGGAGGGAAGGTATCTATATGTATTGCAGAGGGGGTTTTGGATAAGGAACTTCCAAAATTATCAAAAGTCTAAATGCTATTTTAATAGAATTTTACATTTTTATAATTAAGAAATATTTATCTCTTAACTAATCCTATAACCGCTCTCGCACTTTAGCAATATGTGCTATGCATTGGTCCGTACGTGTCTATCTGCGATGGGTCAGACATGCACTATTGCCTATAGGAAAATCAACGAAAAAATTGTACCATTAGTAAAGGCATGCTCTACTTCAATGAACAAATGGGAAACTGTGGAGGTTAGGCCAATGCATGGATGTTTTTTGAAATGTTTTTGTAATATTCCAAAGCGTTCTAGGGCTTTTTCAGAGTTTTGGGAGAATAGTCATAAAGTTGTACATTATGCTACTAAACCAAGCATCGTCTAGTGTGTGTGACGAGCTGGAGGCGAAATTTTTGAAAGTGTAGTTTGTTTGGATGTTGTATTATATAAAGGTTATGCTGCCGTTTGGATTAGCTATTTTTGAAAATATTTTAATAAAAAATTTTATTGCAGACAATGTATATTAAAAAATTTTACTATAAAAGTTTTTGAAATATTTGATATTATTATATGATGAGATGTTTTGAGTTATTGTGTATTACTGTAACATTGTATTTTGAAAAACTTGTTTTTGAAAAAAATGGCCAATCCAGACAAGTTATGAGAATTGGGAGAACTTTAGAATTTCTTTTCCTGTTTGCTTATGTAATTATTCAAATATAATTGATTTACGAAATAGGCAAATACGTAGTTTTGGTCATTTAAGTTAGCGTGTTGGTTAATTTGCGGGAGTAGCAAGAGATATTAGAATTTCATTTTATGAGATATTATTCAGTATAGAGCTTTATTTTGAGCCCTTAACATAGTGTTGTAAGACCTTTAAATTTTGGCCTCAATGAATTGAGAAGCTTCAAAATTTTTAAAAGTTTATCGTTGACTTAATACATTAAATAATAAGTTTATAACAATACTGAAATGTCATGCACCTTATGCTAGCAAAGCAACTCTTGACAATTAAAACTATCACTCTGTCCATTATGTCCTGTCCAATTGCAAAACTACGTAGTTCCGCTGTGTTAATAACTACAGATAATGTAGCATAACATTGAATGCATCTTTTAGGGGGTGTTTGGGCTATGGCATCCATTAGCCCTCATTCGGTCCCCATTGGTTCCAGTCGTTGATTCAATGGCATCTTAATTTCAAAACCGATAAGATTATAAGAAAAAGACAACTGATGCACAAAACGAATCTACCACCATAGTGATCCCTATGAAATTTTAAAAAGCTTCAGCAAAGTTCACGTTCGCGAATTAATTACAAGTCTCGTTGGACATTTTTTTGTAGTATGAACTCTACAAAATTCAATAGAACTTAACTAAAGCCACCACCATATTAAATTTTCATACTAAAAAATTGATTGGTGTAAAAAATTTCGCCACCTTTGTACAGAGATTATCAAATCGAATGCAATAAGCGTTTGTAAGTATTTCCATTTTGAATATCACATGAAAAACGTGCAATTATATTATTTCTAATCGCATATATCATGTCATTTTCAAATATAATTTATTATTATTTTAAGATGCCCATCTTCTGCAAAAAACGCAATTCTTGAATGATCTAACAGATTTCGTCTAAACTTTGAACTATTGTTAGACAAATCATTAAAATTTTTAATTATGTTGGTATAATTTTTAAATTTTTTTCAAATAATGATATTAATCTTTTATTTATTTCAATAACGTAATACCGTGCGTAGGCACGGATATTCCATACTAGTTTTTTAGTGGGGGAATGTGTACTCAATAAAGAGTACTGTATTAACTACTATTTTTTAGTAGTCATCTGAAAACCCATGTTTTTAGGAAGATGTATCGTGTCATTCGAACTTGCAGGCAGAAGAAGGCTCTCACTGTAACAAGGCTGTGAATGGAGTTCAACTGAAACTAGTAGAGTCAATGGTGGTGTGAATAGGTCTTCTGGTGGTTGTGGGGGTGGTGGTCTGGGTGTGAATGGGTCTTCTTGTGGTGGTGGTAGCGAGGCTGTTGGTGTGAAGGGGAGTTCTAGTGGGGCTATCCACAGAGTAAAGGTTGGTGTTGGTGGGGCGAGGAGTGGTAGCAATGGGGGAGCTAATGGGGGGTGGGCGTAATCATAGTAGTAATGGGTAATATGGGTGCTGAATAATGGGGGTGATGGTAGTGTAATGGGGTAGGGCCTGATAGATGGTTTTTGAGAGGTTGGAATAGGAATGATCTTTCACCGACTGTGACTATGCGTTGAACAATTTTATTGTGGTGGTTTCACCTGTTTGACCTGGCTTCGCAAATTTGGTGAAAGTTCATAGCTTGGTTTCTGAGAGTGAACAAAAGACATCTTAGTATATTTCAAGAGAGTGTCAAAAATCTAAAGTAAAGACAAGGCAACACTTGAAGTTGCTGGCGGCTTTGAATTTGGTGCAGTTGTCTCGTTGTGGTTGACGATTCATGAGTTGCAGAGAAGAAGTCAAAAAAAGAAAATGCTTGAGGCTCACCAAAAACTAGTTGGATAATGATATTAAATACGCTTCTCGTCTCCGGATGAGGGAAGTATCTATATGTATTGCATGAGGGGTTTTGGATAAGGAACTTCAAAATTATCAAAAGTCTAAAAAGCTAATTTTATAGAAATTTTACATTTTTTATCAATTAAGAAATTTATCTCTTAACTAAATCCTATAACCCGCTCCTCGGCACTTAGCATAATGTGCTATGGCATGTCCGTACGTGTCTATGCTACGGGTCAGACATGCACCTGATGGGGCCTATAGGAAAATCAAACGAAAAAAATAGTACCGATTAGTAAGCATGCTCTACTTCAATGAACAAATGGGAAACTGTGGAGGTTAGGCCAATGCATGGATGTTTTTTGAAATGTTTTTGTAATATTCCAAAGCGTTCTAGGGCTTTCAAGAGTTTTGGAGAATAGTATAAAAGTTGTACATTATGCTACTAACCAAGCATGCGTCTAGTGTGTGTGACGAGTGGAGGCGAAAATTTTTTGAAAGTGTAGTTTGTTTGGATGTTGTATTATATAAAGGTTATGCTCCGTTTGGATTAGCTATTTTTGAAAATATTTTTAAAAAAATTTTATTGCAGCAATGTATATAAAAAATTTTACTATAAAAGTTTTTTGAAATATTTGATATATTATATGGATGAGATGTTTATTGAGTTATTGTGTATTACTGTAACATTGTATTTTGAAAAACTTGTTTTTGAAAAAATGGCCAATCCAGACAAAGTTATGAGATTGGGCAAACTTTAGAAATTCTTTTCTTGTTTGCTTATGTAATTATTTCAATATAATTGAATTACGAAATAGCAAATACCGTAGTTTTGGTCATTTAATTAGGCGTGTTGGTTAATTTCGGGAGGTAGCAAGAGATATTAGAATTTCATTTTATGAGATATTATTCAGTATTAGACTTTTATTTTGAGCCTTAACATAGTGTTGTAGACTTTTAATTTTGCCTCATAATTGAGAAGCTTCAAAATTTTTAAAGTTTATCGTTGACTTATACATTAAATAATAAGTTTATTAACAATACTAATGTCATGCACTTATGCTAGCAAAGCAACTCTTGACAATTAAAACTATCACTCTGTCCATTATGTCTGTCCAATGCAAAACTACGTAGTTCCGCTTGTTAATACTACTGATATGGTACATAACATTGAATGCATTTTTAGGGGGTGTTTGGGCTATGGCATCCATTAGCCCTCATTGGTCCCCATTGGTTCCATCGTTGATTTCAATGGCATCTTAATTTCAAACCGATAAGATTATAAAGAAAAAGACAACTGATCACAAAACGAATCTCACACCATAGTGATCCCTATGAAATGTTTTAAAAAGCTTCAGCAAGTTCACTTCCAATAAATACAAGTCTCGTTGGACATTTTTTTGTAGTATGAACTCTACAAAATTCAATAGAATTAACTAAACCACCAATATTAATTTTCATACTAAAAATTGATTGGTGTAAAAAATTTTCGCACCTTTGTACAAGATTATCAAATCGAATGCATAACGTTTGTAAGTATTTCATTTTGAAATCACATGAAAACGTGCAATTATATTTATTTCTATCCATATATCATTCATTTTCAAATATAAATTTTTATTATTATTTTAAGATCCATCTTCTGCAAAAACGCAATTCTTGAATGATCTACAGATTTCGTCAAACTTTGAACTATTGTTAGACAAATCTTAAATTTTAATTATGTTGGTATAATTTTTAAATTTTTTTCAAATTAAAATGATATAATCTTTTAATTTATTTCAATAACGTAAATACCGTGCGTAGCACGGATATTCATACTAGTTTTAGTGGGGAATGTGTACTCAATAAAGAAGTACTTATTAACTACTATTTTGTAGTAGTCCATCTGAAAACCCATGTTTTTAGGAGATGTATCGTGTCATTCGAACTTGCAGCAGAAGAAGGCTCTACTGTAACAAGGCTGTGAATGGAGGTTCAACTGAAACTAGTAGAGTCAATGGTGGTGTGAATGAGTCTTCTGGTGGTTGTGGGGCTGGTGGTCTGGGTGTGAATGGGTCTTCCTGTAGTGGTGGTAGCGAGGCTGTTGGTGTGAAGGGGAGTTCTAGTGGGGCTATCCATAGAGTGAAGGCTGGTGCTGGTGGGCGAGGAGTGGTAGCAATGGGGGAGCTAATGGGGGTAGGCGTAATCATAGTAGTAATGGTAATATGGGTGCTGATAATGGGGGTGATGGTAGTGGTAATGGGGGTAGGGCTGATAGATGGTTTGAGAGGTTGGATAGGATGATCTTTCACCCGACTGTGACTATGCGTTGAACAATTTATTGTGGTGGTTTCACCTTGTTTGACCTGGCTCGCAATTTGGTGAAGTTCATGCTTGGTTTTGAGAGTGACAAAGACATCTTAGTTATGATTCAAGAGAGTGTCAAAAATCTAAAGTAAGACAAGGCAACACTTGAAGCTGCTTTGAATTTGGTGCATTGTCTCGTTGTGGTTGAGATTCATGAGTTGAGAGAAGAAGTCAAAAAAGAAATGCTTGAGCTCACCAAACTATTGAGAATGATATTAAATACCTTCTCGTCTCCGGATGAGGGAAGGTATCTATATGTATTGCAGAGGGGGTTTTGGATAAGGAACTTCCAAAATTATCAAAAGTCTAAATGCTATTTTAATAGAATTTTACATTTTTATAATTAAGAAATATTTATCTCTTAACTAATCCTATAACCGCTCTCGCACTTTAGCAATATGTGCTATGCATTGGTCCGTACGTGTCTATCTGCGATGGGTCAGACATGCACTATTGCCTATAGGAAAATCAACGAAAAAATAGTACCATTAGTAAAGGCATGCTCTACTTCAATGAACAAATGGGAAACTGTGGAGGTTAGGCCAATGCATGGATGTTTTTTGAAATGTTTTTGTAATATTACAAAGCGTTCTAGGGCTTTCAAGAGTTTTGGAGAATAGTATAAAAGTTGTACATTATGCTACTAACCAAGCATGCGTCTAGTGTGTGTGACGAGTGGAGGCGAAAATTTTGTGAAAGTGTAGTTTGTTTGGATGTTGTATTATATAAAGGTTATACTCCGTTTGGATTAGCTATTTTTGAAAATATTTTTTAAAAAATTTTATTGCAGCAATGTATATAAAAAAATTTTACTATGAATTTTTTTTGAAATATTTGATATATTATATGGATGAGATGTTTATTGAGTTATTGTGTATTACTGTAACATTGTATTTTGAAAAACTTGTTTTTGAAAAAATGGCCAATCCAGACAAAGTTATGAGATTGGGCAAACTTTAGAATTTCTTTTCTTGTTTGCTTATGTAATTATTTCAATATAATTGAATTACGAAATAGCAAATACCGTAGTTTTGGTCATTTAATTAGGCGTGTTGGTTAATTTCGGGAGGTAGCAAGAGATATTAGAATTTCATTTTATGAGATATTATTCAGTATTAGACTTTTATTTTGAGCCTTAACATAGTGTTGTAGACTTTTAATTTTGCCTCATAATTGAGAAGCTTCAAAATTTTTAAAGTTTATCGTTGACTTATACATTAAATAATAAGTTTATTAACAATACTAATGTCATGCACTTATGCTAGCAAAGCAACTCTTGACAATTAAAACTATCACTCTGTCCATTATGTCTGTCCAATGCAAAACTACGTAGTTCCGCTTGTTAATACTACTGATTTGGTACATAACATTGAATGCATTTTTAGGGGGTGTTTGGGCTATGGCATCCATTAGCCCTCATTGGTCCCCATTGGTTCCATCGTTGATTTCAATGGCATCTTAATTTCAAACCGATAAGATTATAAAGAAAAAGACAACTGATCACAAAACGAATCTCACACCATAGTGATCCCTATGAAATATTTTAAAAAGCTTCAGCAAGTTCACTTCCAATAAATACAAGTCTCGTTGGACATTTTTTTGTAGTATGAACTCTACAAAATTCAATAGAATTAACTAAACCACCAATATTAATTTTCATACTAAAAATTGATTGGTGTAAAAAATGTTTGCACCTTTGTACAAGATTATCAAATCGAATGCATAACGTTTGTAAGTATTTCATTTTGAAATCACATGAAAACGTGCAATTATATTTATTTCTATCCATATATCATTCATTTTCAAATATAAATTTTTATTATTATTTTAAGATCCATCTTCTGCAAAAACGCAATTCTTGAATGATCTACAGATTTCGTCATACTTTGAACTATTGTTAGACAAATCTTAAATTTTAATTATGTTGGTATAATTTTTAAATTTTTTTCAAATTAAAATGATATAATCTTTTAATTTATTTCAATAACGTAAATACCGTGCGTAGCACGGATATTCATACTAGTTTTAGTGGGGAATGTGTACTTTTTAAAGAAGTACTTATTAACTACTATTTTGTAGTAGTCCATCTGAAAACCCATGTTTTTAGGAGATGTATCGTGTCATTCGAACTTGCAGCAGAAGAAGGCTCTACTGTAACAAGGCTGTGAATGGAGGTTCAACTGAAACTAGTAGAGTCAATGGTGGTGTGAATGAGTCTTCTGGTGGTTGTGGGGCTGGTGGTCTGGGTGTGAATGGGT